CTGTAAATGGAACAAGAAACCGCGTGATTGGCAATAAACTATTGAAAGTGGTTAACTCACCGAGCTATTTACGTTAGCTGATAATGTATAGATACCCCTTTATTCAATTCGGAATTTCTTTTGTCTAAACTTCATTCGATTTATTGCCCGGTGACAGGATAGTATCTTATCAAACTTTTAACCGACATCACTTTACACACGAATTAGGTTATAGTTATCGCTGGTAGATATTTTGAATACTGAAGAAATAGTTACGTTTAAAGTAGTTGCTTGTCTCCATAAATACGCTATGGCTCATAAGTAGGTACATATTAAGACACCTAGTCTGTGTAAAGAAGATATGATGTTTCATAAAAACTATATGTTTCAGACCACATTTGTTATGTCATAGTATCATTACAGAACCAATTCTTGATTACTTAAGAGTACTTATTATCGTTTTTTAACATGCAAGTAGAAAAGTTAACTAAACCGGAAAGTCGATCAGTCGAGTTTTTATAACAATTAAATTATAATGCCACTTTTAAAGTACGAAATGCAACGGGAGCAATTCCCGGTCACCCAAATAATATATCTCACTCTGAGCTATCAAATTTTACGTATGATTTAATCTAGAATAAATGTTTATCATGATAAATTTATTATACAATAATCTATATACTACACTGATCAGGAATTGAGTTCTGATCAGGAACTGCGTCTGAAACTATAATCGTTCCCAATTGAACTTCAATATCACCTAAACAATATTTACCTATCAGACATTCAGCAATTTCGTAACGTCCTGTAACATTTACTGTATATTCGATAAATGTCCTAATACTTACGAGAAGGGTACATAATACCAGAAAGACTATTATTTTTTTTCTACTTATCAGCGTTCAATTTGCTGCGGAAATTGCGTTTCACGAAATACCTTTGAAAACCGGTTGTATTTATCGGGTGAATAGCAATCGAAATTCTCTTACGCGTGCAGGAACACCAATCAGAGATTTCGGGGCAGCATTCTGTTGCGATCGTATATTCTGATCGGAACGTCGACACCAGTCATCATCGGCGACTGATGCTGATTATCCGGGGAGCATTCTCGCGCGTTCGTTTCCACCCTCGCCGTGATTCCAGGTGCTTCCTGGGAACAGCTGCGGGCGGCGGCGCACGCGCCCTCGGCAACGACGATACCGTGATTGATCAATTTTTAAAAAGGCAATGTTCCTAATTGACTGGCCGACCCGTCTCGGGTATTATATATCTCCACGAAAGGCATCGAGTCAGGCCACCTTAGTCATCGAAAGGTGTGTTCGGCGGTTCGATCCCAGGCGGTTTTGCCTCCTGGGGGGAGGGAGGGGGGCTTCCACCATTCTTCTGTTCCTCATTCTGTTTGCCAACAATCGATTCGTTCTGTTTCGATAGGCCTCTTAACGCGTCTCTTTCCGTGCTTCGCATATCAAACCTCGAATCGTTTCAAGTTAGGTGAACCCATCCATCGATGGATGAAACCCATCGATATTCAATCTTTCGACGGCAATAGTGCGCGATTTTTAAGGTACACGAATTTAATGAACGATAATCTATCGATCACGCCAGGTATGCAATTAGCCACCCCGGACAGTTCGTACGAATAACCTTTGTCCGCGTGTCATCAATAGGGAACGATAGTTTCATTTCTGTCATAGCGCGGATATCCTATCGTAATATTCGTAATTAACACAATTTCATAGATATCTATAATCATCGGTAACCATCGGAGGCCGAGCGTGTTGCACACAAACGCGTATCGGTCTGATCGTAATTATCGAAGGTATGGTACCGTTTCATAGAACATTTCGTGTATGACGGGGACTAATTTAAATATAGCGAACAGTCTTAACAGTATCGACATTGAGACACTTCTTTGTAAATGAGACAATACAACTCGTACAGTTTGGATATTACAAAAATTCGAAACGAAAATTTCAATGAATCATGATTATTATACAGTGCGCGGAAATCCCAGGTTATCTTCGAATAATATGAAAAAAGACACTCTCTGAGCGATCGTTGGGAATTCTATTGAACCCTTTCGAAGATCACCGATCCAGAGACGCAGCTCCCGATCATAGAGACCGGTCGACGAAAGCTCTCGTTTTACGTGCAGTTATTTTGTAACAGGCGTCATTAGCATTCACCTGCGTTAATTAACGGAAGTTCTGCCGTACGTGTATACGGTAGCGCTCTGCATCAGCCACGAACGGGGAGGGAAGGGCGCGTGCACACACGTGATAATGCGCGATATATGCCTCGACAGGGTCCCTTGTGCTTTTTCCCCTCGTCTGTGCTTGTATCGTCGATGCTCACGCGGCGTGTAACAGCAAATTATCCACGGGCTTTTAGCTGTAGTTCTGCCGTAGTCGTACCGTGAAATCGACGCCAACCACACCCACACGAACGTCGCAAGAAACATTGACATCGCGGGTCCAAGACGAAGGAGGATCGAACAAAATAGGGGGGACAGAGATTTCGAATTTTCTACAGGTCTTGGTATCGTGAGGATGACAAAGGTGGAATGTTCTGGTTATAGATCAACGAAGCTTCGACACCGATCATATACAGGAAACTTAGACAATATTACCGAGTACGCTAATGGCCGGTCTATAGATACATACCGATTCGATCCCAGCGCACTTAACACCACCCAGCTCTAATACTATTCTCTCGTCACGAGTGTCCATCCTTGAGTGGCGCACAGACGTACCAGATGTTCTCCTAAGCTTCGTCGAATGACGCAAGATATCCTGGGATAATGGGGAACCGGAGAGAAAAAATTCCTGCGGATTAGAATACCGACATCGTAAGAATAATCGTATATCAAATCTAATTTCTGTACCCTTAGGCAGAAACAATTTGAAATGTAACAACTACAATCGCTACATTGCTCGAGCTGCATTACCATACACGTAATAATCTGAAAACCCGTCATCGGACAAATATTCTTTGATCCATCCGAATATAGTGCATTCTCGATCAGTGTTCGAAGGGCCCTCTGCACTGACAATAAGCGATCCCCACGTGATAACGCTGGTTTTTTAATGAGGTTTAGCACAGTGGTAGAGCTTGAAATTCTGAAGCCTGTGATATTTGTTTCAGTCACATACGGCCATTAGTTTATGAAATATTTAATGTTCAGTGCCGAGGTGCCCTGGTACACTCATCGAGGATTCACCGTAATATAAAATTTCTATTGTATTTATCTCATAAATCCACCTTTACTCGATCGTTTCACGATAAAGAACATCTACCAGGAGTACATAAGACATGTCCGTACAGCAAAGAGACTAACCCAGCCCGAGGGAAGTTTTCCATTCGCCTGGAAACGTTAGTGGCTCATAATAAACCTGGTCCTCTGTCGTAGAAATCCGACGATCGTTTTCTGGCAATACCTGGAGTACACTGGAACCCGTGAATCCCATATATCCAATTAGATTCGTATAATCCCTGCATGTTAGCAGAGGGTGTCTCCACACACCCCCACCCCACCTCTCGTAGCTAGCCGACCGTCTCGTTCCCTCGTGCAACGGAACCAACGCTCGCTCGTCGTTGCCCTCGCAGGTACAACGGGTCGTCGTCGTCGCCTACCGTGTGCGTCGGAGGCGCAAGCGCGCATCGCCGCTCTAATGCTAAAGTACTAATTTATGGGCACATATGAGATGACTATAGCGCGCTTTACCGCGCCAGGAAAGGGACTGTAGCCTGGTGAAACAGAGTGGTGGCAACCAAGGGGGGCTGGGAAAGGGGGATGGAGAATGGTGGGGATGTAGGACGAGGGTATATATCGGAGAACACACAGGGGTGGGCTTTGCATGCGATATCAATAAATCAAGTCCCCGGACCCCGGCAGCTTAGGGGGCCACTACGTGGCCAGAATCAACAGCTCATAACGTCGGCTAATAGCTACTCGCCGTGGGGTCGAAGATATTGTCGTAACGCCCAGGGACATCTTAACGTCTTCCATCGAATTTGCTGCCGTCGGAAAAAATCTGACTCGGTTCGAGGTTTGTTCGCAGTGCGAATGGAATTCTATTCTCTGCTTTGGTACTCTAACCATCGTGCGATGTTCAGGCAGCTTTTACAGTTCATTGTATGTCCGTGAAACAATACGATGACATTACCCGAAAACCATTGGGGTTTAAAGTTTTGTTACTGTAGAATTTGTTATCTTAATTTGTATTAGGTATGATACGCTAATGGCAATTTGAAGATGTTAGATTCGATTGTTATATGTATACAGATTCGAACAACCCTTGCAGGCTAGAATTGAATTTGAATTTGTACCCTTACGGTCTCAGTTCCTTATCAGAACCCAATTCCTGATCAGTTTAGTGTATAGATACCGTATAATAAGTTTGTTATAATGAAAGTTTCTGCAAACAATTACTAAATAATTATTAACGATTTTGAAACTTTTACGTAAAATTTGATAGCTCAGGGTGAGATAGAGATATGTGATCTAAGTTAGGGGTCGGCAATACGATGCTCGTGAAGCAATTTTAAAGTGTCCGCTTATTTAATTTATGTACTAAAAATTTATGTTGCATTAATATTTTCATGTTTAAATACCTTATACTTTTACCCCTCCCTTCTCTTCATCCCATGGTGCCTGTCAAACTGCCGCATTTCTGAAATACGACCTCCTAGTAAAAAAGGTTACCGACCTCTGATCTAGGTGATCACAAATTGCTCCTCTTACACTTCTCACTTTAAAAGTTAAATTATAATTTAATTATTACTATGTCTGCACTTTTGTTAATACCGAATTTAAAATCAAACATAGATTTATTCGATTAACAGCTATTCTTTTGATTCCGGTTAATTGTTCTACTTATACGTTAAAAAAACGGCAATAGCAACTCTTAAGTGATCAGAAATTGGGTCTGTAAGGGTAGTTGAAGGAAAAAAATGGTGGTATATACATATATTCGTTTATACCGAGTTTCACAGTTAATTCATCGTTGTATTTTCCGCAGGTGTGGTTTCAAAATCGCCGAGCGAAATGGAAAAAAAAGAAGAAATCGCCGTCGGTGTTCCGGTCCCCGGGCGCGCTGCTGCCCTCCCACGGGTTGCCGCCTTTCGGCCCGATGAGCTCCGATCTCTGCGGCGCTGGAATGTTTCACGGACCTGCTGAGAGATGGGGAATGGGAACAGGTCAGGCGTCAACGATTCCCATCATTTACATATGTCAATGAGCTGAATTTCCCTGAAACGGAATCATCCGGGGATATTATCTGCTGTCAAAATTCATTAGTCTTTTTCATATATCGCAGCCTCAGATATATACAGTATAAATATATGAAAATCATCGTGTAAAACGTGTTAATTACCGTTCGTATAACTCAGGATTACTGTCCTTACGACCGAGAACGGCGAAACAAGAGGATCATTTAAGCGTTAACAAATTGCTCGGTTTCGTATTAATTACATACAATTTACCCTGTCATTTCGTAACTTTATTACCAACGTTTCGCACGCGAAAGAGACACACCGGTGTCTTAAACACGTCGCGCAGTGAAGTTTCGACAGCGGTCTGAATTTTAATTTAATTTCACACGTCTACTGATTTTCTCTTGATCGACCCATCTTTGGTCGTTCTACTGGGATCAGCTTGCGACCGAACGGTGGTTTAATTGAAACCGCTTGTTTTACAGGTCTTGGACAATTGGGGCAGGGAGGCATGGGAATGGGCGGTTTCGGGCAAAGTTTAGGGCAACTTGGTCAGCAAAGCACGGGGAGCCTCGGCTCGAGCTTGGGTCTTGGTAATTCCGGGCTCCCGATCAGCAGTCCATCCCAGACCGTCTATCAAGCCAGTTACGGACTAAATTCCCTTGGTAAGTAAAACCCCGAGCATAGATTAACGTCCAGGCAGCCACGAACCACCGCTAAATACCCAAAATTCTCGATTATTTACCTTGTCTCGTTGTCGTGAGATTTTTTTTATCGAAGCGTAGATACATTGAGATGGACACACTCTAATTCGACGATAGTCACCGTCAATTTTAAATAGTTTGTTGTCCTGTGCCCTATTGTCCTGCTGGAATAATAAAACAGAAAATTAATCGTCTGAGGAATAACGGACGATTCTCTCTTCCTGTAAGCATTTAATTTAACCCTTTAACCCCCAGATCTTCAAATTATTATGTCAAAATTATGAGACCGATGTTGTATCTTGCTATTTTGAAGTCGAAGATATCGATATTAAACCGGCCTATTCCTTTTTTATTGATTTTTGGAGGGAATATCTGAATTTCCTAACCGATAACGCTGAGATCCACTTTACTGTCAGTGACATTACGAGTACTTGGTAACAGAAGGGTAGATATTAATCGGCAACAAAATTTAACTGGACGGTGAGGATTTAACCTATCGGTGTTATATAGGGATCATGGAACCCTAGAAATGGTCGATATTTAAACAATTTTCAAGAACATCTCTCGTTTATAACTCGGAAATCCTACCAGCGAAATGCTCCTAAGGTAGTAAAGTTTTACGTGTCAGCGTTTAAACCGTGATTCGGAGCGACGAAGTCGGATCTTTAGGAGAGGAATATTTTCTATCCCCGACGGAGACAGAATATTAACGTGGCATACAAACGCGAGAACGCTTATGGGCGGTTCGATAATCGTCTTGCCAAACTTTTGGACCGGCGGGCCTCGAAACGAGAGAGAGAGAGAGAGAGAGAGAGAACAAAAAAGAAGGAACGACGACGTGCAAACAGTATCGAGGAACCCGGTACCTCTTTGACGAAGTCGTTAAACGTTACGGTGCATTATCGCTCGAAGGGGTTATGCGCCTGCATGTAAGGAATTTGAGACAGAAACATAAACTCCGTCCTCTCGTCTGTTTACGCAGGCGAACCTCGAGCCCGGTCTCGCACCTAGGTGCGAGATCTTTCGCTGTATGTTTACCATAACATCCCGATGCAACCTGTCTTGGTGGAGTTACGCTTCACCTTATCCGGGGACCTTGTACCTTCGAAGGTGTCCGAAGAGACGTGGCGTGTGTGAAATTCTTTGTCTCACGAAATTCTGTTCACCCGCCCCACGCCCCTCCCTCGTGCTATTCCGACCTCAAAGACATGAATGGTACAGTGAAAACGTTTTCAAGAGACATAGGGCGTCGAAGAAGCCCAGGGAAAAAGTAAAAATGAAAAACCACAAAAGAAGCGTGATCCATGAGGTCATCGTGTATTAACAACGAAATTAAGGAAATGAAAAATGGTCTAAAAGTGGATCTCACATATAAGTAGAGTTCGTTGATCCTGCACCAGAAGGGAAACCGAAGTCTGAAGGATAAGCTAATCGGAGTTTCGATAATTGATTAAAGAAGTATGTTCCCAGCCTGTGTCTCTCTCGTTTGACCGTCTGTATATTCGTTTTGAGCATTTATATTTAATAACGTTTTTACTACACCGACCGTGGCACACGATTGTTTTCCGAACGGTATAAAAGCGAGATTCAACGTAGCAGCTATTAAGCCTGACCTAAAAATATCATATCGGATGCTGCCCGCCATCGCCAAATGCATATTGACACGTATAAATGGATTAATCCGTCCGGTATACGTATACCGTGATTTTCTGAGGTTAATACACTCCTAAGATCAGTTTTTCCGACGGGAATTTTCACGACGCGAGCGTCCAGATTCCATTGGCTTTCGAACTTCAGCGGAAAAGCAATAACTGCGAAAAAAAAATGGAAACGGATTCTAAATAAATATCGAAAAATCGATGAAAATGATTGCGGAACGACGAGTTTCTGCAAAATTGTCAAGTATATATTGTACGATACAGATCACCCTTTATTCTTTTTAGATGTCTGGAATTTCGACGTTGGAACCAAATTGACTGTATTTTTATTACTAATGCTTTCGCGTGAACTTGCTTCTTCGAAGATGATTCCAATCACATATTCGTGCAAACTACAGAACCGATCAGAATTAATCAGTGTTCTCTGTGCAAGTTCGACAAAAGAAACTATTGTTATTTTGTTCGTGTCGCATATAGATACCTGTTCCGTATAAAACCGAAAATTGTGTATTTGCTCTTGAATCAACGGTTGTGCAACTAGCCACGACGGTGCTCGCTCGAACGACACGATGTGTTCGGCCCTGTGGCGAAACCTACCTTTACATGGAGCGTAGGTTTCACAATGTTCACGCGTATATGAACGTATCCGAAACGCGAACACTTACGTGTGTGTACACACGTAACACGTACAGGGTGTCAATTATCACGTATTATCGCCGCGGGGCAGGTAGCGTCAACCGAAAGGAGAGAGAGAAAAAAAATATCGTCGTTCCGCAGTCGCGCGATTTACCGTCCGTGCATGTTCGTATGGACTCGGTTTAAGGTGGACGGCCAATACTGGTCAGTCCAGCCCCCGTGGTCAGTTGTCCGCTTTTACTCGTCGGTAATGCCTACGACAAACACCTTTTAGTGAAACGTCTTATTTTTCGGTTCTCGATGATGATTAGCATCGAACGGTAGCTGCGACCGTGGTTTACCGGTCTTCAAGTCGCGATTACGGAATTCTATTTTGTTTATTTTCGTCAGCCACAGCGCCCGGGCAAACGGACGTCTATGAGGTGCGAATTGAAACCGGGGCCTGAAACTGCCCGATTTTCGAGACCACCATTATGGTCCACATTACGGTTCGATCCTCGGTTCACCGATGAATCTGTAACTCGTCGAAGAAGAAGCAATGCTTTCTTCGACATCAGCGGAGAGAATCCTTCTATTTCTGAAATTCAGTTGTGAAACAAACAATCGAACAATTGCCTTGAGAGCTTCGGATGAAGTAGTCGCAACAACCGTTGAATAAACCGCCGTAAAATCACGCTGCTCATCGATGCCATTAGGTATTACATTCTTCCCATAGAGCTTGCTAAAAGGGACGGCTTCGTAGTCCTCCGCAAACTTGTACTCTCGCCACGATACCGTCATAAAACGGGGGATCCCTTTTTCCCCCCCCGTTGTCTCACGACGAGGCCCACCAACGTGGGCGTAGGAACAGACGGAAACGACTTTACGACACCCAGTAGCGCAACCCCCACGCACTTTGTGAGCCTACCATATTAATATCTCCTACGAAGAAAGGGAAACGCTACCCCAGCGCACCTGCGGTATCGCACCTGTAAATTGCCCTTTCGCTACCTGTTCCCGAGACCGAGGGATTCGTGCCTGACTATTCGACGCGCGGCTAAGAACGACGGTTCCACCGGTGCTAACGCGAAACGTCTTCCGTATCCGACGGCAGGATCCAAGCTTCTGCGACTGGTGTTTGCAGGCTGAATCGTTTGCAAACAAAACCACCCTTTTTGGTCGTCAATGGCAAAATCAATGGTTTAGGATTCGACCATTCAGACCCTTCCTTCGCCAAAGGTTTCTTCACTTTTTCTGATGACTTCCGAAACAATTGATGCTTAAAGTGGTGGGTAACATTAGTGGATGAAGTTTGCAGCTTCTACTGTCTTACGTGCTTGTAAGCTGAAGAGCAATATTCCGAGACTCTATTATTAGACGGTATACTGCTTGTAAAAACGTGTGTATTATCGTATTATTATAGGAGCACTGATAACATACGAGAAAGTGGGGCAACAAGGGGTACCTAATAAATTTGTTCTGCTAACAAAGAATCAGATGGTAAAACAAACTTTAAACTCCATTACGGGCCTTAAGTAGACCTTAGGCTTGGATTACCAGAAAATGAGACGTTTTGTTTAAAAAATATTTGACTACCAAGGGAAATAAGATTTTCCGACGGTAGAAAAGGAGAAAAATACAAAATCGATCTTTCCTCCCTGTACAAGTGCTCGAGTCTGTGGTTGATCACGAACCATCAACTCGAACCTAAGAACACGCGTTCGTCACATATCGAAACATTTACACAGAAAAGCAATAATACCCATTTTTTATTTTTATCGGTCTATCGCATTTTACCCAACTTTTCCCACAATTCCATTTGATACCAGCGTAAGGATCGAAAACAGTACCGACAACAAATACTGAGAGGATGTATACTTTTTGACTTGCAGGGGGTGTGCATGTGTCAGCGTCCCGAGGCTCCCCTCCGGAAGGATCCAGCGTAGGCGGCGGTCCCGGTGGCGGTCTTGGCTCGGCCTTGAACTGCGGTCAGGTTTCGCCTGGGACGACTTCCGGTAGCGGTGGAGGCGGCGGGGGCGGTGTATCCTGCGTGGCTGCCGATGTGAACGCGACGGAGGTCTCGGATTGGAGAGGCGCCCATAGCATCGCGGCGCTGAGACGTCGAGCCTCGGACGCCTCGCAACAATACAGTCCTCAGCCACCGCCGCTGCCCGCAGGACCGCCGCAATACGCCCACGACATAGAGTACAATTCCGTTTACTGAGGGGTGATTGCGATTCACACCGATTATTGACTCTACCGATAAGTTCTGTCGCGACTGTTCCGAAGGGAAGATCCTCTTGGTGGACACCGTGTTCCGAGAGGTCTGTGTGCAGGGTAGCGGATCGAAGTGACGAAAACGGGAAGACATCAATGGGATAGCTCGTTTTTAGGTGATCGTAGACCCCGAGAAACATGCATTTACGTTCGCGACATCGAGTGCACGCTTGAATCTGCAGCGATTTCAACTGTGGACAGCAGCGTCGTGACACGGAATCTTTGTCTGTCGGAAACGTCTTCGTGTTGGTATTGGATCTGCAATTTAATACAGTTCGAAGAAGAGGAGTGACAAAGGATTGTACAGTTGCATAGAAGGATAGTCTGGTTTGGAAATACATCGTGGGTAGCTCGTTGACTGATTAAGGCAGCTACAGCAAGAATGGAGTTTCGTTTCTTTTTATGATTTCAATGAAAGAATAGTATTTTCATCGTTTGACCCTTGAACTTCTTCTACGTATGTGATTACTTAGGACGAAGTATATGTCTTCTGTCAACGATAGACGCAACTGTGAAGTTCAAACAAGCAAGATATGCAGTGATGCTTTGGAATAAAGAAAAGAAACCAGGAAATAACTGTTCAAGCGCAGAAAATAATGAATCCATGGAGGAAGGAAGAAGAGAAGCTCTGATTAATAAAAGAATAAAAGTTTCGTGTCACAATGAAACTGTACAAAGTTGAAATAGTGTGGTGGTTAGTTTATACACTCATGTATCATCTTAATACCCGACGCTGGTCGGACAATTTCCTACGATTCATGTATTCAGAACGTTTTAGTTGAAGCTTTTGAATTTATACAAGTATAATTGCTTGACCATATACATTGGGACAATTACGTGAATTTGGAGAATACTTCGTGATGGTATTTTTCGATTACATACTTCATTCGTTTTTATACAGTATGTACAACAGACAACAATCACCAACGTTGTTTGACTATGATTCACGCATCGCGGTACAGCGTAACGAAAAGTATACGACAAGTTATTATAGTATTATGTATGGCATTGTAAATATAGTGAAAAAAAATTGGCGTACACAGATATATTATAGATTACGATTAATATTATTAAGTTTTGCATACGATGAAACGGGCGATTGCTTTTTACCTCGGTTATTTCATAACGTTACGCGAACAGATTTCGTAATCGTCCACTGCCAGAGATCCTCGATTCAGTTTTGTTCCCTCTACGACCCTATTTATATAAAACCAAATTCCCACGATTTCCTGCGGATCCCTCTTTTACCTGTACTTGAATCTCGTTCAGGCGGACTAATCACTGTTCAACGATCACATTAAGCTGTAATAACTGTAAACGACGAGTCGTATAAGTTAAATCACTAAGAAAAAGAAGCTAGTCTTTCTTTGTTCGGCTTTGTACTTCGAGCACGGACTGGCTTCATTCTCGGATCGGCGAAATACTAGTGAACCTCTCGAGGCGGGGGGCACGTTTTAAAGAAATTTCGCTCGTTTCGAGAAGATCAGTAGATGCACTGTCGAGTCCTGCATGAAAGGAACAGTATTTCGTGTAACTAAAACGCAAGTTAGCTCCTCCGTATATTGCATTCCTAAACTAACCCCTTATAGAACGCTATAAATATAAATTGTTTATGTTGTTGTACACCGAGGCATAAATTTTGTAAATAGGACTGTACGTCTAATATTGCTAATAATTGAATATTGTAAGCGAACATCTCCACTACGAACGAACAAAACGCGAGTGTATACTTGGACATTGTGATATTTTGGGCTCCGCTGTTCCATACTTTTTTTTTGTCTTTTTTTTTTCTTCGTCCCCGACAGCGACGAGCCGTGCACACGATATTGCAAGGAATTATACAATGGCGGTACCAGTGGTAATGATCCGCGAAGGACACACACGATGACGATCGATTATTCTAGTTACGAATTTACGGTAGTTTTAGGTAAAAGTTAGTGATAAAACTATGGAATTAACGATATGCAGTTGTCAGTGTATTACTACGAAAAACGTATACGATTTTTAATGTACAAACAAAAAAAAAGTAAGGGTGTAGCCGCCGCGAGGGTACGACATGTTTCACGGAATTTCATCCTGCTGGTGCGATTTATGTTCGGGATGAAACGACTCGTACTTGGACTGACTCTAATTCTATCTTTTTCTCGTTTACTCATCGTTTCTATTTCCTCGTACTCTCTTTCTATTGTTCTCGCAGCTATATTTTCTACGCTACCGACTTGCACACATTTTTATACATATTTAAATAAGGTCGGGCACTGTGTGAACGTGGTCTCAAGTATCCCTTGGAATTGAGTCATATTTCTCGTTGAATGCGCGAAAGATAATAATATTTATTTATCATCTACGCGTGCGTGGATAGACATCATTTTCAAGATCGAATCAATCCCCCCCTCTCTTTATCACTCTATCACACTCTCTCTTTCTCTCGAGATGTCGTGTTTGCTAGCGAACGAGTTAAATCGCGCGAATATTTCGACACGATCCCCGATCATTCTGTTCAGACCCGTACGTTTTTGCGATAATCGATGAATATGAATACACTCGACAGAGTGTGTCGCGAAAGAATGGACTGATTATCATCGCATCTTTACAACGGATCATTATCGGCGATGACCTTAATTAGTGATAAATAGAAGAATTTTAATTTTTATCGTTGTATAGTTGTGTATAGAGGACAACTAAGTGTGTATAATAAATCATTATCAAAAAGCCAAAACCCTCATGTATCACCAAACAGCACGGCACGGCTGAATGCTTACGATAGTACAAACACACATTTTTATTTGAAAATATACATTTCCATGTTCACGGTTACACATATCGTATTTACGGCAAGGAACACAAAATAGCGGCAAATTATCTAAAGAAATAAATTAAGTACTCTTTCACTTATCGACTAGATTAAATCATTGGTACGTTGAATCGGAACTCACAATTTAATGGAAGAACAGAAGGTAAGTTTTACAGATATGTATAATGCATTGGGATATTACAAAGTTTGTCTTCAGGTACTATTTAAAATACTGACTTCAACGAACACATTCGTAGGTTTGCTAATATTTAACAACTTACAACAACAAAAATATCGAGTATGTAACAATAAGTATATAATGTTTAGGATGAAATATACATTTCGTAGGTCTTCTCCTTATATCTTTAAGGGGATATGTCAATGTTTTACAATATATAATTGCACAATATGATTTGTAAACAGATATTGACAGATAATATGTATAGCACAAGTTTGGTCACTTTCCGAGTATCATTTGCAAGGCCATTATGATCAGGTAAGTTATAGTATTTTGAAACAAGTGTAGTTACAATTAACTTCTGTAAGTTTGAAACACACATTCGGTATATTGATCTTACAATCTGACTTAATGTATCCAACAAATAGGATAGTCTGTCTCGTGTTTTATATATCGACTATCGATCTATAATAAATGCTGTATCATTGAAAATTTTCCAAAATGTAAAATATATTAATCAATATTAAAGAAACTTACACTTTCGAAAATTCTGTTTTCGTGATTTCTAAAACTTGTGTTCAAATATTCGAAGATCATTAAAAATGAAATATTTCTTGGTGCCATGAATACAAACGTAATCATTGAAAAGTAACTCGTAAATATCGGTAGTTTTTCCAAAATAGTATTCGATCAATAAGACATCCGTAAGTGTGTATCGATTTTAAACATTACTTTAAAATACACACATATATCGTTATTCATATATCTGATCTCTCAACCATGAGAAAAACGTCTTAATACTTCTTCGAATTTAAATATTATTTGAAACATACGATAGGAATATTTTATGCAAAATCGAAGTATTGAAACATTAACGCGCGAGTGTAACGATGGCTGATTCGAATAATTTGGCGCTAATGTACTTTCGATTATCGTCGGCTAAACTCGGCTAGTTGCGCAGCGGCGCAAACTCCTGCCACTAGTTCGCGGCGAAATTGGAACCGGTAACGTCAGTGCGTTTTTATCCGGATATTATAAATCTATTCGAACAATATAAATACATAGATTCCTTTTAATTGAAGTAATTATGTATACTTAACTGAACAAGTAGTGCTCGAGTGTTTTCGTGTTAGAAGGCAACAAGTGTGAGGTGTTTATTGGCGAACCCCACGATTCGAACGTTAACGGTCGCCTGGCGTCATGGCGTTCCAGATTTGAATTTGCATGCACAAGGAGCATTAAGTCGCACGGAAAAATGGATTCAGGGTATGTCCCTTTCATAATTTAATATTCACTCGCAATTAAATGATCCTCGTAAGGCTGTTCTCCGGATGTTCATCGTCCGAGGTTTCTGGTTCTGTGTTTAATTTGCTAAAGTCTCGCGGATTCGGCCGTTTCTCGAATATCTTGAAACTTTTGCCCCTTCTGCCTTCCAAGAGACTCGACAGCTTAAAGTTTTCTCGCCTCTCCGCTTCCCAACGCATTCTTTTTCGCATTATTAATAAACATCCTGTTTGTAAAAATAAACGGAATTAGAAAACTCGTGTACAGCAAAGCTCAGATATGAATTCAAGTTTACTCGCACGAAGCAGCTATGGAGCCAACGAGCTTTGCTGTTATCAATCTGTAATTGCTTTGTACTTCTAAGCGGCGTGCACTATGTTTACTATTGAATACTTACGTGACGCATCCAAAGCAAAACAGGATAATACGCAAGGGCAATAACCGAATACATCGTTGAAATGAAAACACGTATATTTCCTTTTACAAGATATTATGAACATGTAAAATAAATAAACGGTCATATACAAGAGGTAGAACAAAAAAAATACCACGTTTTGCCAAATGAGTACACGCGAAAAATACTGTAAGAAATATCAAGGAAGACCAGATTCTCATTTTCCAAGTACTCACTCCATCTTAAAATTCGACTAATAAAATTATAAATAAAATATACGCCTACGCTTGTGCGATCACAGGGGATTGTAAATAGTACTTACACAATAAGTACATAAATTATTAAATATGTACACTATTTGTAGTAGATAGTGTAATAGACGTCAAGCGAAATAGATAAAATGTCGATTCATGACACTTAAAAATTATATATAGTTATAATTCGAGACAAGAAGATCTAAATAAAATGTTTCTCTACACAAAATTACAGAATTAATGTTTATACTCGGGTTGTTATTAAAATAATAAATGCAACTGCAGTAAAAATAAAGACTAAATCCTCTTGTACTGGCACTGTTCTAAAAATGATCTTTACACAAACAATCTTCAAATCACTCACTTTAAAAATAAATAATTACTCATTAGATGATAAAGTAGCATTAGGGTGCATGAAACACGTGCAAAGCCAGTACAAAAGCTTGTCAAATATTTTGCAGCAAAACGATCAACAATTTGGAGAAAATTGAAAATAGTAGCAGGATTTGAAATGTTGAATCTGTAAATGTCACACGTCCTTCGATCGCTTATCAGCCATTTAGGAAATGACATTTTGCTAAGTAGCACGTGATAGATCATTAAACTTGACTACATGAGAGTTTACTACCAAATCACTTGATACTGACTAAACTAATCGACATGCGTGCACAGCTATTACTTGACAACCCAAAATTAGTCAAATTAATACTCTTATTCGACTAGTTTTGAGAATTCGACAGCAGATTCATCATACTGAAACAATCTACCTCTTTTCTGACATCTTGCTACAACTGCAGCAATTGCTACACACAGGGCAATAAAAATGACTGCTGCTGTAACAAGGGATAAGACTAATGTTGCTGTTGTAGTACCTCCACTGGAAGAATTGTTAGAGTTACTATCCGTTAAAGGTGCAGGTTCCTGACGAGGGTTTGTCTTTAGCACTGACTTTCCAGTTTGCACAGATGCATTCGTATCTGGAAAAGAAACCGCGTACAATTGTAGATTTTTATTTACATCTTCAAAGAACATTAAAAAATACAGAATGTCTTACCTTGCAAGAATCTATACACTATCTGTTTATTTAATTCCACCACATATATTTCAGACCCATCTTCAGTCACAGCTATATCATGTGGCATATCCATATCATGATGTGGCCTAAACTGAGATAGTACATCTCCAGAATGCATATCAATAACAAATCCCCTTACGTGCACATAGTTATTTGAATTTGTTTCGGGACCATTGATTACATAAAGTTTCTCTTTAGCATATGCTACACTGTAAATCTTGGTACCAATTATCGGATGCTTATATTGCTTCTGGAACGTTCCATTGTATACAGAGAAAGATGAAACTCTACCATTTTCTCTATCGGCAACAAATATTAAATTGAACTCACTAGCAAGGGCTAATGCATGTGGTACAAAGAATGCATTAGGCGTTGGAGCTTGCACATACATGCTTTCTACAATACAAAATACATTACTGGTCTAGTCCTTAATTTTAATTCTTTCCTAAACAAGTATATAATGAATGAAAAGATACCTTTCCCGCCCCAATGTCGACCCCACTGTAGAATTCTTGTTCCTTTTGAATCGAACTTAATAATTCTGGAATTACAGTATCCATCACTGACAAAAAAGTCACCATTACTTTCTACAGCAACTGCTGTTGGTTTGCAAAATCGTTGTTCATCATTACCAGGCTCAAAAGCCTCTCCAAGAATCAATGATGGCTTGGGAATATAACTTTGAATCAAGCTATTAGAATTATGATTATTAAGAAACATTGTTTCCTGGTTGTACCGTCTGTCCCTCAACTTTTCCATATTTTTCATTTTTTCTATGTCTTTAGCATCAAATTTGAGTACTTGATGCAACGCAACATCAGTAATCCAATAATTTCCATATGAATCTATTGTTAACCCATGTGGCAAGTAAAACATGTTTGCACCCCATTCAAATAATTTCCGTCCAGACTTATCCAGAAGAATTACAGTGTTTTCTTCAATTGGTCCATTATTTTGATTGAATCTATTGCTTTTATCAAATGTATCAACACCCCAAGACCGCGAGCCTCTATGGAATATTCCTATATTGCCATTCGGGTCTATTGACACTGCAGATATCTGACCAAACCTTAAGTTGTTAGCCCAATGGGAATCCCACATTATATCTGTGAATTAAGAAAATAAGAATATATATTATAACATATTATAAAAAAATATATATAAATATATATATTGCTACTCTCAAAGAAAACAGGCACAACTCAAAACATATCAGTTTAGAGATAATGCCTTGTAAAAATTTAATCAAATTTTAAGTCAAGTTTAAAGTACATACTTAAAGTTAACTTTAGTAAGTGATTTTTCATTTTACCCCTATTACCAACCCTTAAGGCCACCAACTTGTGAAACTTTTATTGTACAAAAAAATTTTACCTTTTTTATCTGTAAAGGGAAATTAATTAAAACAAATAAATGATACAATGAGGGAAAATGTTTATTTACGCATAAATGAAATACAAAAAAATACAAAAGAACATATAAACGAAATACAAACTTATTGTACAAAAAACTACAAATTAACACAAATATCTGAGTAACAGTCCTTTCTTTTTAGCCTCTGTTGTGCTTGTTTTTGCCTGTTTTAGCAGCCAGAGATACTAGTTACCTTTATGATATTCTCCACATAACAGTATACCACATTTGCATCATAGTTATGCAAATAATAAAGATCTTAAATTGTTTAGTTGTGTCGGTTTTCCTCCAAAGTAGCAATATGAATCTTTGTATTATTAAGCATATATTTTATTAAAAAATAGTATTTCTACTCACTTTTATCAAATACATTTGGAGAATCTGTATCAGCATCTATAGCACTTTGTGATGCACGTCCATTATGATACAACAAAGGTACTTGATCCCATTGCTGTGTTAAAGACCCCTTATCTCTGTCATCAATGTCAGTATATTCTGAATACTCTTTGAAACCAAACTTCTTATCAGGTAAATGTAATGCTCTGTGCTACAAAAAGAGTCATAAATCAATGATCTCAGACCTATTATTTATTCCTATTACACACCAGTTACTCTTATATTAGTTAACATACAAATTACAGATCTATTGTCATTGTATACCTGAAGGCTCAGATAATTCTGATAGTCAGCTTTGACAACATCAAAAATAAATAAAACTGAAATGCAACAGGCAATGTCATGTTGTAGATGCATCATCTTTAGACGTTACAGGCATTAGATTCTTGTGTCGTCGCTTTATTTCATTCAGATTGTCTTCACTTATTCATTCGAATCACTTTTCATAGTATTATCAGAATAAATTAGCAAGCGAATACAGATATATGGGTCATCTCAAGCTTATAGAATTGTACCAACCCCACGCGTATGTTCACTGACCGTCACTGACATATGCAACAGGGAACGTGAATAGCCATCTGACGGTGAACTTACAGAATACGTTCACCAATCCCGATTATACGTCTATAAAGAAGGTTCGAACTAATCTATAATGTTATTTTTATAGTAGTGGGGATTCACAAAATACCCATTCAAGGATTCTTGTATCTTTAACAAAGAAATAAGCGCTAACAGAGAGCAGAATATATTCTAGAAACTAAAGCAGCTGGTATTTCTAAATGATACATGTGTATCTGAAAAGTTTTACTTTATACATACGACTGTATGGAGTATTGATTAGCTTCTCTAGAGATTAGTTACGTTGTATGCGCTACCTGTTTCAAATACGTCGGCCGGGATATAATGATTTCTTGAGAAGATAATAATAATAATTAAACTACAGAAATAACTAAGTACAAACGTTTTTTATCAGCATATATTAATTTCATTTAAATTAGTTTCTTTCATTTTACTATGAATAGTAACATCAATATATAAATAGTGATAAAAGCATTTATGATAGAAATATGGGAGATTTATCATAAAACGACTTTAGAATATAATATGCATTGCCACACGTGAGTAATAAACAAGATAACGACCTGCGTTGAAAAAACATCGTACAGAATTTTTATATAATGACTATTGTGGCGTTTCATTAAAGATATAACGTAAATTCTTAAGGGACTTATAATTATGCTTTAAATGCATTAAACATTTGGTTTCGATAATATGAAATTATTAGCAATCGAACATTTCTCCAATAAGGTGAAAGATGGAGAAAGATATCGATCGTGGAAAATAAATTATACAATGTGTGTCTGTATTTTTGTTACTTTTTCACAGGGCCAACAAATTCATGTAACCACAACAAATTTATGTATATGTAGCCTTAAAATATTCTAAGTTTCATGTAAGATAGAACATTCACCAAAAATATTTGATCTTACATTCATTCTTTTAACTAGAGAAATTAATTATAAGTTCGCAGCCATTAGCTCGGTATTACCTTCAGTTTACAATACTTTACCGAAAATAATACCAATTGCCCGGGTCTCACCACGAGGAGGTTGCTGCAAGTGGAGACCCAAAGGAAGCTAGATGAAATCATTAGTTTCATCTACCTCCCTTTTTACAAAGACTAACAATGAACTTAAAAGTAACTTAAACTTAGACGCTTTAATGTTGTTTTCCCTCGGCGGATGACTTCTTTCTTGAGTCGACCTGAAAATAAAATGAAGGTCCCACGGCGGATGATCGATGTCTTCTTTCTTAAGCTTACACTAGTCTTACAATCGCCTTAACTTAACTTACAACTAACCCATTTAGCTGTATACCGAGCAATTATTACAGACAAAAGGAGTGCATATTCTCTGAAGGAGAATATGTTTCAGAGAGTCGATGCTCTCGGAAGGAGAGCACCGATTCTCTCTGAGGCAAAGTGTGACTCGAATAGTGGTCGGCCCCGTCACCAGCTACCCCCTGTCAGAGGGGTCGTATCTCGCGCTCCTCCGTACGGGTCCCCATTTCTCCCAACGTACTGCCTCCAGGCGGCTGCTGGGCAGCCGAGGAGACTCCGTACGGATAACAAAGAGAGGGACCCGATACGGAGGCATGCCGCGAGACGGCCGTGCAAGCACAGACACCGCCTCGCGGTGCGAGACATGGACCCATGATTAGGATAGCTAGTTAGAGAATCCGATTTTTCGGGCCTACAACACGGCCGATCACCTGCACATTGCAGAGTGACCGGAAATAGCGGACTACGCGAGAAAAAGAAGCTAAAATAATAAGTACTCGGTGTACATTATAGTTATTTTACAATGGGTTTGCAGCCATTGGCTCGGTATTATCCTCGATTTACAAAACTATCGAGGATGACACCGATTACCAGGTCTCACCACGTGGAGACCCAAGGAAGATAGATGGAATGACAAGTTCCATCTATCCACCTTTCACAATAATCGTACTCACGTAATAGTTATATGATCTCCATTAGATTGTTCTAATCATATTTATCCCTTAACCTTAAACTGAAGCATCGGATATTGTTATTCCGTCAAATTATATAGATACACGCAATATGAATGGAATATATAATACTTTATTTGTGCTAATAATACTCAGAATTTATGCTTTATCGGTAATGTCGGGTATTGACATTAAAATGGTAAGGGGGCTTCTGACGCCCTCGAAGCGTGGGATAGAAAATTACATTGGGTTTAATTAATTGTGTTTTATTGTTAGGTCTATTCATATATCTCGTCTGTGGAACCACTAATCTTCGGTGCCAACTATTTTTCGGTCCAACAGGCGGCTCTCGAGCCATTCAAATTTAGTCGGTATACATACTATCTGACACATGTTTGAGTTTCCTGCCGCTATAAGGCACCACATGTTTCACTTTTTACTCGGACATTTGATGCAATTGATTTCTGTAAAAAAAAGTTCCTCAAAATTCTTGCCTTTTACTAAATATGTTACAGTATTGACTATGACGGTTGATAGTTATAATATTTTTGTAAAAATATCTCCCATTACAATAGTCTTTGATTTTTATTTATGTTCGGAGTATACATATACACAATGTTAATAAATTTTGAATCGTATTTGTTAAAAGATTTTTCTTCATTTCATTCTACGACTTTATTCTACTGGCTCTGGAATCAATATTCACTATTCATTACTAGACATTCAGTATTCCATGAATAGCGTTTTAATGATACTAAATGGTTACACTGAATCGTTTATTAGGGCGACGTTTGATTGCATGACGTCTTTTTCGAAGGAATTTCTGACATTCACACTATGAAACACTAGTTTTCAGAAAAGTCTTCGATGTGTAATTTTCAATTCTTTCTCACGCGTTAATGTATCATTCAGCGTTTCGAACGAAAATCAACATCAACACATTACAAATTAAAACAACGGTCCTGCTGTTGTGAAAATTAATATCGCCGATTACTTATCTTCTCTCGTAAAACAATTTTCTCGCCGCGGTGCAGCCGACGGGGGGTAAATAGGATCCAGAAACGATTTGCTCGCGTTTTCTTCAACCCCCCTTTAGCAATCGTAGCTTGTTCTCTGGATAGATGAAAATCCTTCTAGGTTATTCAGTGTTTAGAATTCGTTGCTTATTGTACCGCGGCTATAATATATCGTCAATATTCTTCAGTCGACCATTCATGTCGCTTCGTTTCAAAGAATTTTGGATACGAATAGAAACCCTTTATGACTCTGGTTACATTGTTGCGTCGGACACAGACATATTACATACCTATGCGGGGCTGTTTTCATAATACACGCGGAGTTAATCTCGCGATTAAACTTCCAAGCGTCTCCTGACCAAAGGAGGTCGGTAAATTCTATTGTCTGGTATCCGTGAATCATTGGTCCCGCCTAATGGATTTTCTGAACGATGGAGACGAACGAGCTGGTTACTCGAATCAACAGATAATGACGTCCTACGAAGTTTCGTCTCTGACGTAGTGGCATCAAAATTTTTCGTCAAACGTACGCTGTTGTGTAACGTTTCATGGAGTGTTCACGTAGAATTATTACGATAAACCCATGGAAATAGTTCGTTAAATAGTTCTAAGCTGAAAGAACCTAACCGTAGAAGGAATTCGATGAAGTTCTTCGTACAACTGACAGAAATTGATGGTTTCCAGATATCTTATACAAAAGCCTTCTCACTTTCCACCATTGTACCATTATGCTCATTGTTCGGGAGCCTTGAATTTTGACACTTCTGTCGTTATATCCGGCGCAGACAAGACTTGTGTGTGTGTGTGGGGGGGGGGAAGGCTCGTGGTGTCGAGGCCTAACAATAGTGCTTATCCCTTGGCGCGATTGGAGGAAGGGTTGCGTGTGTTCGATTTTGTTCTAATCGACAAGCCCCCTCGCGTTCTCATCTTACACTGCTCCGTACGGCACGAATCCCGTACTTAACGTCCAACGACGCGAATACTCTTCGGGGTGGTCGGCAGAATGAGCTGACAACCACCTCGTGGAACTCTAGATCTTATTCTCGTTGGTTGAAGGACCTCTGCATCAGGTGCAGATCGTGTTTTCAAGAGTAATGTAAGTTGTATTATTTTCACTATTGTCTTCGGCTTGGGTGAATTTTCCTGATTTATATTGAATTCCTTATAATTATAGTGAAATCAAATTGTAATTACCACATGTTTACGTTCGGTTTGAAAGCGAGGATTTATTTCAACGAAATACCGCAGGCAGATATCATTAGTCGGTGAATAATTAATTAAACAATTTTCGGTAATTGATCGATAAACATATCATATGAATTTTTTATTCCCATTAATGCTTATTATATTACGCGTAAAAGGAGAAACGAATTTGATGATCGCAATAGCTTTTCGCGCAATTCGATGTTCATTGTTAATTGAATACATTGATAAAGTTTCGTCGGGATAACTTGTTTTTTTTTAGATTCTGCAGTGGGTTATCCACTTTTCTCTCTTTCTCTCTCCTTCTCTCTGTTTCTCTCTCTATCTCAACTTCAAGCATTATAAATTCGACCTCGGTTCCGCAACGGCACAACTACGTCAGCCATTTTTATTTAGGTCGCTTCAAGCCATCCGATTGAGAGCGACGATGAGTTGCTAACAGGACTCGTAAATCTCGCTTTGGCGACAGTATCGTTGCGAGTTCCTACGAGATGAAAAACTGAATTTCCACGTCGGACGGAATTTCGGAGTTTTTATGAAATGAAGTGAAACGTCCGACGATAATTTTCCGTTGGACGCGAGCGATTCTCTGTCGCCTCCCGCCGGCCAGAGTACCACCGATTCTGCCCTCGCCGTCCGTGACAAATGGCGGCTACGATTCTGTCGCATTTTAGAAAATCTACGCGT